TTTTTTGGTTTTTCGTGACAGGGTTTCTCTGTGGCTTTGGAGGCTGTCCTGGAACTCGCTTGGTAGTCCAGGCTGGTCTCGAACTCACAGAGATCCGCCTGCCTCTGCCTCCCGAGTGCTGGGATTAAAGGCGTGCGCCACCAAAGCCCGGCTCAAATGGTATTTTTATAACATTTAGATGTTTGCTCAAAAGTCAGCCTGTGCTATTGCAGCAAAGTGCTCTTAGTGACATGTAAATTTTATCAGTTAAGAAACATTTCAGTCTGTGCAAGGATTAGTTGCAAAAAAAAAAAAAAAAGGTCAGAGGATGAAATCTTATGTTTCCGAGCCAGAAGAACAGATGGCCAATTTGCTAAAGGCTTAATCTAAAAGAGGCCAGATTTGGGTCATTGCTGGGATGAAAGAGAATCGCAGAGGAGACAAAAGAAGCATTGGAAAAAAAACTTTTAGCATAAAAAGAAAAAAATACAGCTGGAGAGATTGCTCAGTTGTAAAGTGTCTGATATACCCACAAAAAGGACTGTAGTTGATCCAAAATTCACACAAAAGCCAGGTATAAAAAAGCATGGGTGGCCGGGCGTTGGTGGCGCACGCCTTTAATCCCGGCACTCAGGAGGGCCTCCTGAGTGCCAGAATTAAAGGTGTACACCATCACTGCCCACTGCCCGGCCTTGAATCTCTAAATTTGAGGGTAGCCTAGTCTACAGAGCTCCAGGAAATCCCATCTCAAACAAACAAAAATAAATAAATAATAAATACATACATAAAAGGAGCTATCCTTCCGGGAGGGTCAATATTCTATTTTACTTAGTAAACATTTTGGCAGATCTTTTAATCTCCCCACCTGGTGAAACATTTGTTTCCAGGAAGTCTACCACCTTTGTCCTCCAGAAACTGATGGCCTGAAGCAACCCCTTCTCCCTCAGCTTCCGTTTCCCCAATGGTCTCAGAACCAGTCTGTCCTCATGAAAGACTGCGAGGTCAGGATTCAGCCAACGGGGAAAGACACAGTCACCACCTGCGTCAGAACAAAAGCCAGTCTGGAAAGGGAAGCACATTGACTTAATATCAGCACCCTGAGGGCAGAGGCAGGAAGATCTCCAGGAGTTAGGTTCGGTCTACACAGAGTCAGCATAGTAACACCCTGCCTAAATAAGTAGAATAAAAACTAAGTGAACTTGCTGCTTGCTTGCCTGGTTTGGATTCAGTTCTGTCCTTCCCCTGTAATAAACTGCCTTGCAGAATTACTTTGTCTTCGTGTACCTGTTCACTAGTCCCACTGAGATTATTGTTTGCTTGTTTCTAACGCTGGGGAAGTGGCCACAGGAGGATCCTGGGGTTCAACGGCCAGAAAGCCTAAGCAAACCTTACTGAGCCCCCGTTTCAGTGAGAGACCCTGATTCAAAAATACAGTGCAGGCCAGATGGCTGTGGCAAGCCTTTCATCCCAGTACTCAGGAGGCAGAGGCAGGCGGATCTCTGTGAGTTTGAGGCCAGCCTGGTCTACAGAGTGAGTTCCAGGACAGCCAGGGCTACACACAGAAACCCTGTCTCAAAAAACAAAAACAAAAACAGTTCAGAACAATTGAGGAGGACACTTGGGCTGTCTGACTCTGGTCCTGATGTCACACATACTCACACCACCCTACAACCTAATGTCCATAAATAAATAGCATGTTGATTTTCTTTCTTTCATTCTTTCATTCTTTCTTTTTTGGTTTCTCTATGGCTTTGAAGGCTGTCCTAGAACTGGCTCTTGTAGACCAGGCTTGGTCTCGAACTCACAGAGATCTGCCTGTCTCTGCTTCCCAAGTGCTGGGATTAAAGGCATGCGCCACCAACGCCCAGCAAGCACACTGACTTTGAAAAATGATATTGCAATAGATTTTAGTGCAATGCTGCAGTTAATAAAGATTAGAGACGGTCATGGTGACTTAGGCCTATACTGCCATCACTCAGGAGGTTTGGGCAGGACGGTTCAGTGGATAACGGTGTGCAAGCCTGAAGGTCTGACTTTGACAGTGGAACCCATGTAACAGAGAAAGGAGAGCACACCTCCACACAGTTGACCTCTGGCACCGTGCCCCACTCTCTTCTCCCTCTCCCTGTCTCTTTGTATCTGATACCCTCTCCTGGCCTTCCGGTGGAACCCAGGAATTCGTGCACCCTGGGCAAAGCAGTGTGCACAACTGAGCTACAGACGGGTGACAGACGCTGGGACCACTGCTCCCAGTCTATTCACAGGTTAAACTGGGAGGACACTGCAAGGATTTGTCATCCTGTTAATTCCTCTAAACCACAACTGGTGGTGAATGTCTGTAATCCCCCCACTTGGGAGGTGGAGACAGGGTTATCAAGAGATGAAGGACAGTTTGGGTCACAAAGTGAGATCCTGTCTCCAAGCACAAAGAAACAGAATTCATGAATTCATACATGTACACACACACTCTAAATTGTAAAAAACTCAAAAAAAGGAGGCAAACAAAAGCACAGGAGAACAACAGGCAAGCATGGCACTGGAGACTGAAAATTCCAACAGTGGACTGACAGCAGTTCAAGACCAGCCTGGCCACATGGTGGCTTCCAAGGCAGCCAAGGCAACACAGTGAGATTCTGTCTCAACCAAATGATTTCAGTCTTGTTTTTTTTTTTTTGTTTTTGTTTTTGTTTTTCGAGACAGGGTTTCTCTGTGGCTTTTTGGAGGCTGTCCTGGAACTCACTCAGTAGACCCAGGCTGGCCTGGAACTCGCAGAGATCCACCTGCTTCTGCCTCCCAAGTGCTGGGATTAAAGGCTTGCGCCACCAGCTCCCGGCTTAAACTTGTCTTTTTAATTAATAAAATTTTTTTATGTGTATGCATGTTTTCTCTGCAAGTATGTGTATCAGATGTGTGCCGAGTGCCCTTGGAGGTCAGGAGGGGCTGTTGGGACCTGGGACTGGAGTTACATGGTGAGTTCCCTCGTGGGTGCAGTAAACTGGGTCCTCTGGAAGAGCAGCAGATGCCCTGAGCTGCTGACCTCCTCTGTGGTATGCCTTTAGTCCTCCATAGTTTTCTCATTAGAAAATAGTAAACCGGCAGTGGTGGCGCACACCTTTAGTCCCGGCACTTGGGAAACAGAGGTAGGCGGATCTCTGTGAGTTCCAGGCCAGTGAGTGCCAGGGCAGGAGCCAAAGCTACACAGAGAACCCCTGTCTCAAAAAAGTAAAATTGGGGGCGGTGGTGGCGCACGCCTTTAATCCCAGCACTCGGGAGGCAGAGGCAGGCGGATCTCTGTGAGTTCAAGGCCAGGCTGGACCGACAGCCTCCAAAACAATACAGAGAAACCCTGTCTCGTAAAACCAAAAAAAAAAAAAAAAGGTAAAAAAGTAAAATTGGGTGGCCGGGCGTTGGTGGCGCACGCCTTTAATCCCAGCACTCGGGAGGCAGAGGCAGGTGGATCTCTGTGAGTTCGAGGCCAGCCTGGTCTATAGCGTGAGTTCCAGGACAACCTCCAAAGGTACAGAGAAACCCTGTCTCAAAAAAAAAAAAAAAAAAAAAACAAGAAAAAAAAAGTAAAATTGGGAACACATAAACTCACTTAAGCAGATACACACACTGTATGGAAAAAGGGCCAGTCAAAGAAACACACCCTGAGCAGAGCCAAAAGAAACACACTTCCCCTGAAAGCTGCTGTGATTACTGTGACCTGTGGCATTCCTTGGCTCCCAATCGCCAGAACACCTTTCCATCCAAGCTGTAACACTCAGTGTTCAGTGACTCCCACGTGCCAACATCCCTGCCTATCGGATCCTTTGTAATGATTACACACATACATAGAATAAAACTTTTGAAAATGCCATAGATTTACATTTTGTTTTTTTTGTTTTTTCGGTTTTTTGAGACAGGGTTTCTCTGTGGCTTTGGAGGCTGTCCCGGAACTCGCTCTGTAGACCAGGCTGGTCTCGAACTCACAGAGATCCGCCTGCCTCTGCCTCCCAAGTGCTGGGATTAAAGGCGTGCGCCACCAACGCCCAGCATAATTTAAATTTTTTGCCTTTATTTATTTTTTGGTTTTTGAGCCCCGGATGTTCTGAAACTCCCTCTGAAGCCCAGGCGGATGCCAAACTCAGAGATCCGCCTACCTCTGCCTCTGGAGTGGTGGATTAAAGGCGTGCACAGCCATCACTACCCAGCCAAAAAAAAAAAAAAAAACCAACCAAAAACCCAAATTACCTCACCCCCCAATTTAAATCAGATTTTCCTAGATCTAGTGTATCTCCTTCTGGCAATATTCCCATCTCTAAGTTGGCTGTATGCATTTTGGTGTGCTCCAGGTTCCTACGGAATAGCCAGGATTGAGTGGCAGGCAGGCTAATTGAGGTGGCCGGCCATTCGGTTTGCAGATTGTGCAACCGACTTGGAGGGGTCCAGGTAACAGGAGAGGACAGCTCACAGAATGTGGAGATGAGAAGGGGATTTGATAAATCTGCAGGGCTGGAGCCGGCTGCACTCCAGGCGGTGCAGGGATTTACTCTCCTCCCCACACCCAGGCTCATTCTGGCTCTTTCTTTTTCCTAGGCCCGGGGCGAGGGCAGGCCCTTTGCACCCGCTACCAGACTCCACCCAGCCCTTACCGCCCCAGCGCCGCGGAAATGCAGGGATCAGGGCGGTCCCCTAAGCGCCGATAGGACGACGCGGCGTCAATCAGGCCCGCCAGTACCCGGATGAGGAGCCGTGCGCGATACAAAGGCGAACATTCCACCCCGCTTTCCGCCTGGTACAGTGACCAATGGCCAGCCTCCGTGCACTAAGTGACAGGAAGCTCCGCCAATTACTAGAGAGCTTCTGCTACGCATGTGGAAATTCTCGCAGCTAGACCCGCCCACTCCTGACTGTGATTGGCCAGCCCTGTGAGCAGCGGTAGCGCGATCTAATTGGGAGCGGGAGCGAGGAAAGGCTCAGCCAATAGGAACGCCCCGCCCGGGAGCGGGGCGGGGCCGGACCTTCGCCTCGGCGGCAGAGGAGCTCGGGGGCCATTTTGTGGAGCGCCGGAGAGCGAACGGTCGTGTGCTGCGCGCCTGCAGTCGCTTCGGAGCCTCGGCACGGACCCGCGGCGGGAGAGGCAGCCTCTTTCTCTCTCTCTCTCCTTGCGCTTGGTAAGCGGAGTGGGGGCGAGTGCGGGAGAGGCGAGGGTTCCGGGGCCCTGCGGCGGGGCGTGGGGGGGTGTGGGAGCGAAAACGGCCTCGCGGCGGACGCGGAGCCCGCGTTTGTCGCCGCGGCTTTGGGGACTGGGAGCGAGGCGGGAGCCACCCAGGCCTCGGCTGGGGCGCAGGTCCAGCCCCGGTGACCTCCAGGCCGCGGTCGGCGCGGCAAGCGCCCCGCCTGCGCGCTCGTGTCTAACGGCTGCCCTGGACCACCGGGACTCGGAGAGGGGGAAGCGTTGAGAGGGCGGGAAGAAGGAAGAAAGGAAGAAATGCTTGCTAACGTGACCCGGAGTTTGACGGCCCGGCGATCCCGCTGTTAAATCTTCGGAGTTCAACGTCGGGCGCGGGTGGCGCGGGGGAGGGGGGGAGCGATACCGTGGTGATGTTACTGGAAGCTTCTGCATTCCGGGCGGGCCACATGGCACCCGAGCGGCGTTTTAACAATAGCCGGAGTATTCGTTACTTCTTCTCCCATAGGAGTAAGTGGTAGAAGGCGGAGTGTTTTTCTGTTCGTAAAAAGGACGCGCCGCGGAATAACTGAAATTGCAATAATGAAAGCCTTTTAATCTGCAGGTTACAGATCACTTGAAATAATGTGAGTTAGTGGGACTTTGAGGTAGGTCTTGAGAGAGAAGTGTATAGGTAAAAGTGGTTGACAGTAGCGTACTAAATTCGTGGAGCGTCTTAAGATATTTTTAGACAGGTGAAGGCTACTGGGATACTGTGCACAAAAGATCATTGAGATTTTAGGGGAAGCTGATACCGAAATTAAAGGTAACAGGAACAAAGCCAAAATAATCTTCCGGATATTCCCAATATTCTATCCATTCAAAACTTGGCAATAAGCAGTTTCCAGCTAGGTGTGATATTGCATTCCTGTAATCCTTGCACTTCCAGAGGCCACGAGACCGGAGGATCAGTACCCGTCGCTTGCCAGCCCGGAACTACACAGTAAAATTCTTGTTTATGAAAGAGGGGAGCTCGGACAAAATTTATGTTAAAAAAAAAAACCCCAAACAATTGATTGCTGTTACAGGTTTTGAGCTGTTGCTGTAGCCCAGTGCTTAGGATGCAAGGTGCACTTAATTTAATTCCCAGCACTAATAGTGTAGGGTGTTAGCTTATCTGGAGTTAATTTGTTGTTTTTTAATTTTTCGGAGACCTGGTTTCTCTGTAGCTTTGGAGACTGTCCTGGAACTCCCTCCTGCAGACCAGGCTGGCCTGGAACTGAGAGATCTGTCTGCCTCTGCCTCCCCAGTGCTGGTATCAAAGGCGTGCACCCCCCCCCCCGGCTTTTGTTTGTTGGTTTTTCAAGATTGGAGGGATTCTTTGTGTAGCAGCTCTGGCTGCCAGATCTGCCTGACTCTGGCTTTAAGTGCTGGGATTAAATGTGACCATCACTGCTTGCCTAGCCTCATTTTAAGATGCAAGCGCATGTGTGCCTAAGAGTAGAATTTTGCTGTGGTGAAATGAGAAATGAGTAAAACAGCTAGGAAGTCATCAAAAAGTGTTGTAAATAAATGTCACGTTAGTATGCAAGTAGAGATTGGTTGAAAAACATCTACCACTAAGTGTTGTAGGGCACACCTTCAGTCCAGTAGAACATGATGATAGCTTATGACTTTGGGACCAGTCTGGTAAGACTTTCAGAAGTGTTAGAAATGTGAATTCCTGAATGGGAGGCAGAGGCAGGTGGATCTCTGAGGTTGAGACCGGCCAGGTATAAAGCTACATAGAGAATCCTTGTCTTGACCGCCCCCCCAAAAACGGTATTTGTCCTTAGCATTATTTGCTTATGCTTCATACACTCACCTCTCATTGGAAGACTTAACTGTTTTGAAACTAGATTTACTGGGGAATTGGCTGATGAAAAATAATTTTCAGATGTAGCAAAACTAGAAGTGTTTGTAAAGATTTTGAAAAACTACAGTGGATAAGAGGTTCCTGGTTAAGTTCTCAAAAGACAAGCTGATTTTCTGTTTAAAAGTATTCTAGTTCTTTTTTTTTTTTTTTTTGGTTTGGTTTCTTTGTGGAGCCGTGGCTGTCTTGGAACTAGCTTTGTAGACAAGGCTGGCCTCAAACTCAGAGATCCACCCCACCTGTTTCTTCCAAGTGCTGGGATTAAAGGCAAAGGCATATGCCACCACTGCCAGGCTTAGGTTTTGTATTTTTAGTAAGTGCTAGATGATTTAAAGTATCGTTTAAGGAGTTTATCTAAACCTTAGTGGGATTTTTTTTGGTAGTGTAGCCTAAAATACATTTTAAAGCTTATTTCAGTGTATTAATGATTGCATGTATGAGTGCACCATGTTTGCTTATGCTGGACATTAAGTCTGAAAGAAAGCATAGGATCCTCTGGAACTGGAATTAGGTTGTGAGCCACCATGTGGGGTACTGGGAATCAAAAAGCTGCATCTTCTGTAATTGCTGCAAGTGCTCTTTATATGCTGAACCATTTTCCAGCCTCCGTACACATGCTCTGTCAGAAAACATCTGTTTATTTAAAAAGTGGCATTAGTTATTAGTTCATGATTTTGAGAAATCTTGTTGGCATGGAACATGTAGTGCTTTCTTTTTGTGTGAGGGGGTAGTTTGGTTTTGTTTCTTTGGAAACAGGGACTCAGCTATGTAGCTCAGACCCTCTGGCTGTCCTGGGGCTGACTTTGTAGACCAGGCTTAACCTCCAACTCAAAAGGTCACCTGCCTCGGCCTCCCTAGTGCTGGGAGTAAAGTTGTGTGCCCAGATTACATTGCTGCTCTTTAAGCCTATGCCTTCTATATATACTAAGGGTTTTTATTTTTCTTTTTTTCTCTTAAGACGAGGTTTCTGTGGCTTTGGAGGCTGTCCTGGAACCAGCTCTTATAGACCAGGATGGTCTTGAACTCAGAAACCCTCCTGGCTCTGCCTCCCAAGTGCCAGGATCAAAGGCACTACCACACCCTTTTTTAATGAACTGTTGGGTTAACACCAAGGTTTTGGTACCGGGTTTAAAGAATTACAGTACTTGTTCTGTGTAGTCTTTGGTGTTTTTAAATCAGGATTTAGTTTGAATACTTTCTAAAGGTTCAGTTTTAAAATTTTAAAGTTTAGAGGCAAATAAGTCCTCATGTCTAAATGAAATGGGAATGTAACAAGTCTTAACTGCTTTTCTCCTTTTAGCTGATGAAACAACCAGTTTGTGTCATTTGCATTATTTCAGTTTCCCATTGTGTCAGATTCTTCATACCTTAGGATTAGGAACACTAGATAATAAATGTCATTTACATTATTTCAGTTTTACATTATGTGTCAGATACTTCATACCTTGAGAGTAGGAACACTAGATGATAAAATGAAACACAAATCCATAAGGACACAATTTTTATCACCTGTTTCATGACATGAAAGTGTTCATGGATCCTTCCTCCATTTGTATGGTTTTTCACTGTCAGTGATGAATAAAAAGGGCTGGCTCCTTTTTAAGAATATCTTTCACCCTGACTAGAACCTTATCAAAGTCTTGTGGTCTTTCACTCTTTGGCTTTGAGAACAGATGAGTCCCTTCTAGTGTATGTCTTCATGGTAGACCATTCACCTTTAGTCTGTATTATTCACAGGAAGAAAACTACATATATGGCCTTAGGTTTGAAACCCATGAGTCTGTTTGACCTTTATTCACTTCATCTCCATTCGTTGGCCTGGTTTTCTGTATTTTCTTCATTGCCCAAACTGCCGATTACAAAGCGGACATTAAAATGTATGCTCTTGGCGGTCCCCTTAAAGGGGACTTGAATTTAGTTAACTACAGCCACATATCGACTATGAAGAATTGTTTAAAAAAAGTCACTAATAGAAGTGATGATTCTCTAAAGGCTCTCTCCATCCCAGTGAAATGTTAATGCTTTACCAAAATGTGTTAGATGCAACAGACAGTTTTCTGTCTTGTGTTTAGGGCACATTTCTGAGGAACTATGACTCAATCTGTCCCTTCTCCTTTCACAGGGCAGCAAGGCGAACCCCATCCTTGTACTCACTGGAGCTCAGCTTTGATTTTTAACTTCCCTTCCCTACCCTTCCAGAACACACACATTCCCATTCCAAATTGATTTTATAAAGACATTTTAAACACAATGATGCAACTTGGTGTGCACTACAGCAAATATACAGGTGTTTTTTTTAAATTATTTCCAAAAAAGACACAAAAAACGGGACCTGGATTTAAGTTGTAATTTTTAAAATTTCTATTTCTATTTTTTCTGCAGCAGTTGGGTTAGAGGAGGAGCCTTTTAGCCTCATAAACTGACCTCTCTACTTCTCGTGTATTTTTAAGATTAATTGATGATGTGGAAAGGGCTTTGCTTGTCTGCTATTGAGAACATTACCCTTGCGGTTTTTGTGGAAACTGCTTTTGGAAAAGAAAAGAAATGAACTTTACTGACTTGACATTTTTACACCTCCCGTTTTTCTAATCTGGGCTATTTTTATTTTTGTTTTTTTACAGTGAGATTTTTTTGATCTTCAGCTACAGTAAGTTATTATAATTTTTTTTTTACATTTTTCCTGACTTTCGCTGGTTTCCTTTTTATTGTTGTTACTTACTAGTTATTATTACTATACTTATTATAATGGTGATGATGATGATGATAATGATGATTTTTAACCGGATTAAAGTGGAGTTTTTCTGAATGTTAAGATTTCTTCAGCCTCCTGATTGACTTTGGAGTTTTCCATCTTGGGAGAGAAAGTGAAGGTGTTAGCATTTTTAAGTAGTTTGATCACATAAACCTTTTCTCTCCCAACCCCACCCTTGCCCTCAACCCCTTCCCCACACTGGAAATAATTTTACTGGCTGTTAAGTCTTTGACCTTATTTTTCCTGATCTTTAACTTAACTGTTTTAGAGCATCTCTGGACGTCTGTATTTTTAATTTTTTTATTTTTATTTTTTTTCCTTTTTAATCTTTCATTTGTTAAATTTTTAAACTGTGCTGCAATAAAATGTGTGTGGTACTATTTAACACCTATAATGGTGGTGGCATTTTCCCAAAAAGCCATCTTCCTACTGTTTCCCTTGAAATCCCATCCTGCTTTTCCTGTACACTACCCCTCACAAACCACAAGCCGCAGCAACATGGATGCCCAGCCTGGAGCAGCATCAGCCAGGATGACCTGGAGCCAGGGGGGCCTTCGGAACAGATGTACACCCTTCCTGGGTGATGGTAAGAGGTGTGAGGTCCACTTGGTTTCATTGCAAAGACTAGGAAATAAGACTTATTTAAGTTTAGATGATGAATAGGTCAGAGCCCCTGGAACTGCCTCCAACTAGACAGTTCTTTCTCGGCATTGAGCTGTTTGATTTAGAGTAATCTTTGGGATTTAGGCTTACAGTTTAGTTGACAGAGTGCTTAGTGCACATGAGGCCCATTAGGCACACCTGTTAGACATGCAGAAGTATAAGTTGTTTAAGGTCTTCCTTGGGTTATATAGTGTGAGGCCTGCCTGGAATACATAAAACATTGCCTCAAAACAAAATACAGTTTAGGTTACATTTATACATTTTTAGATTATGTTTATCTTAAAACACAAGTTGAGGGGGCTGGAGAGGGTGGTTCATCAACTAAAAGCTTTGGCAGCTCTTCCAGAGGTCCTGCATTCAATTCCCAGCAGATACATGGTGGCTTACAGTCATCTGTAATGGGATCTGATGCCCTCTTCTGACATGCAGGGGTGCAAGCAGACAGTATTTGTAAACAATTACAAGTTGAAGACAAATTCTGGTAACTCAAAGATGAGACAGAAGTTAGAGGCTAGTGTGGTGGCACTCTGTGATAACAACCCAAACAAAATCCCATGGATCCAATGACAAGAAATAAGTGATATTTATAGTATTAAACTGTCACAGAAGGTTTTTTTTTAAAAAAAAGAGTTTAAGGGAAGGATAGGTTTAGCTTAAAATAGAAAGATTTAATTTCTGCATCTACACAATGTGCATCATCAATGACTTGAAGCCTAATGTCTTGAAACTAGAATAACGCAATGGTTATTGAGGGCATAGGTAGCTGGAGTTAGGAATACTATTGGTTTGGAAACCAATTTAGTTTCATATGTTTTTTGAGACAAGGTCCCTACATAGGCCTGCTTTGTCCTGAAACTCAATTTAGACCAGGCTAATCTCAAAAATTTGGAGCCGCCTGTCTCTGCTTCCCAAATGCTGAGATTAAAGGAAAGCACCACCATGTTCAGCCATTGCTATGCATTTTAGAGTTAATATATGAAGTTTCAACTTGGAAAATGAGTGGTATGGCATGTGGGTATATAATACTCTTGGACAAAAAGTCAAATGTAGGTCAGATGGACACCAAAGAAAACAGTGGACATTAAAGCAGAAGAAGCTCCTGGGGTCTGGGAAAGGAGTGAAATCTTCCTACCTGTGCTGTGTTGGACCTGCTCATTACAGGGTCACTAACTATTTCTAGTTAGATCAAGGGTCTTGTCAGGAAAACCTCAGCCTAACTCATGGTGATAGAGTGAGAAATGAATGATACCATATGGTGAGATTTATGCACAGATCTGTAAAAGAATGCAAAAGTGGCCAGCGCTGGTGGCACACACACGCCTTTAATCCCAGCACTTGGCATTAAAGAGCTAGTTCCAGGACAACCTCCAAAGCCACAGAGTATGCCCCCCCAACCCTCCAGTTTCCATGTAACCCTGGCTGTCTTAGAACTTGCTCTATGTAGACCAGGCTGGCCTAGAATTCACAGAGATCCGCCTGCATCTGCCATTCAAGCTCTGGGATTAAAGGTGTGTGCCACCACCACATAGTGAGGGTTTTGAGAACTAGTAAAGGGCAAATAGGAAGTGACTTGAAATTCACTTGAATGGGTTTTACCTGTGTGTCTGTTACCATGTACACTCATTACATTAACCTAGAACTGCAGCTAGAGACGATCTTAAGCTGCAATGTGGATACAGGTCCTTAACCACTGAGCCAGCTCCAGCCCAAGAATCAAGAACTCAAAATAAATTTTACTTGGAGAAAAAGGAAATAATGGTTGAGGTCTGTTACTAAAGTAAGGGGGCTGTTTTTCAATCTTCATCTGACTTGACCTTTATCATTTAACCACTGGAGACATTCTGAAGCCTTTTTACTTTGCTTTCAGGTTGTTGATGCTCCTTATTTAACTATTGGAGTTGTGTATGACTTAGTTCTTCCTCATTTTGTGCTCATTTCATGAAATATTTCACTTCTATGATTTTTATATGTTTATGAATTGATTGCCACCAAATTTTAACAGTATGGGCTTTTTCTCTTTAGTAGATTTGCATCTATTCAGTTACTTATCTGGTAGTTTTACTTGAATATCATCCTTACAAACTTCAGGGATGATGTAGGAGCAGAATTAGCACCTTGTTTTCTTTTTGAGATAGGGATTCTCTGTAGCCTGGAACTCTGCAAATCTGCCTGCTTCTGCACCCCAAGTTGCAGGATTAAAGGCGTGTTCCACCACCAGGTGCCACCTTGGTTTTTAAGGCCAAGACTACCAGTGGCCTACCTACAATGTGAGAAAAGGAAAAGAGTTATTTCACAGACAAGCTGTATCTAGATTGTTTATTCAAATTGGTTTGTTTTGGCCTCTGGTTTATCAAACTACAGATTTTGTGTTACTTAGACCAAAGACTACTAGCTTCTTTTGCTATCATGTCATCAGCTTTTCATTTAAAACCATTTATTGCCATATTCTTGGTCTGTGTCAGTTTATCATTGTCTTTAGTGTATTACAATAGACATCCACTTTTTTTTTTTTGAAACAGGGTTTTTCTGTATTTTATCCTAGAACTTGCTCTGTAGACCAGGCTAGTCTGGAACTCAGATCCGTCTACCTCTGCCTCCCAAGTGCTGGGATTAAAGGAGTGCGCTACCAACGCCTGGCTGACATCCACTTTTTTAAATAACTAATTTAAAAAATGTTTTTAATTCATTTTTTTTCAAGATAGGGTTTCTCTATATTGCTTTCCAGGCTGTCCTGGAACTCCCAGAGATCTGCTTACCTATGCCTCCGTAATGCTGGGATTAAAGGCATGCACCACCAACACCTGGCTACTTAAATTTTGTATGAGTGCTTTTCATGTATACCTGCATGCTAGAAGAGGGCATCAGATCCTATTATAGTCATGAATCACCATGTATGTGGTTGATGGAAATTGAACACAGGACCCCTGGAAGAGCAGCCACTGCTCTTAGCCCTCCCCAACCATTTCTCTAGATTCAGATATTTTGACCTCCGTACTAGTCTATTCTCAAATTGTCAGCTACATTGATTTTGCTAAAATGTAAATGATTGAAAGCTGGGTTTGGTGTCATGCATATGATGCAGCACTTGGGAAGTGTAGGCAGGATCAGGAAAGGGATTCAAGGGTACCTTCTTTAGCTGTGTGGAATTTAAAAGGATCTAGGATTGTGTGAAAGGAGAAAAAAGTGTTTCTAACTGTGCTGTGCTCTGGTCATGTTAATGATCTCTCAATTTGTGTTCCTGGCCTGGAATTCAGAATGGTCTGCCTCTAGAGTCTGCCACCACTCCTGGTACACTGGTTATCTTACTGTGTATTATGGGAGAGATGGCTGAGCAGTTAAGAATACTTGTTAATCTTTCAGAATATCTGGATGCAGTTACCAGCCTGGACATGATGCTTCCCAGGGGGATTTGATGCTCTCTTAGTACTAGGCATTCGTGGTATGCATATATAGAAAAAGCACTCACTGATTTAAAAAAGAAAGTGGTTAGATGTGTTCTACTTCAAGTTCTTGACAGTTTTTCTACATTTTAGATTCAGTAGCTACCATGTCAGTGATGTCTTGATCTGTTGGAGCCAGCATCTGAAATTGGTACTTAGGATACAAGCAATCATTCTTATAGAAGATGAGGCTTCAATTCCCAATAACCTCATGGTGGCTAATAACTATAATTCCAGTTCCCAGAGGGTCTTCCACCCTCTTTCCTGTGTTTCTGTGGGTACTAAACATGTACAGACAAAAACAACCATACACAAAATAAGAGAAGTCAACTGGTAGGACAGGCACAATGACATAGCTTTTTAAAAATCCCTGCACTTGGAGATTTCATTTTAAGCTAGCCTGGCCCATAGTGACACCTGTTTGGAAAAAAAAAACACCCACTAGTGTGAGATGCTTCTAGAACATAGCACTTAAACACTCTGTATTTGTTGCTACTTTGATTCATTTTATTTCGAGGCAGGGCAATCTATTTGTGCTTCAATTTAACTCATGGAAATATTTCAAGCAACTCAGATTAGTAATTGTTCTTCATGTCCTTGTCCCTTTTTATACTTCTGCATTTTATTTTATTATTATTATTATTTTTTTTTTTTTTGGCCACTTGGTGTAATGGCACTCATCTTGCTGATCTGAGTCCAGCCCTGCCTGGTCTTCATAGCAAGTTCCAAGCTGTATAGTGATAGATATTCTGTCTCAAACAAAATCAATCTTTTTGTTTTTGTTTGTGTGTT